CCTGTTGGAATACTTCCCATGTGTTATGTTTTAATTTTCCCATGGGATTAAATGGCATAGATTCATTATTATTGGTAATCCCAAATGCTGGGAAAGAACAGGTTTGTCGGATTAAAGAGTCCTCTTACATTTATGGAAGGAAGGAAGCAACCTGCAGTTTCCACCAAACACCTTTTTCAATCCCATTATGTAGTAGTTTCATTGTTCTAATTTAACTTAACCTGTAATTAGGACAAAGCTTCAGTAAATTAAATATGCATATTCTTTTTCTGTTATACTTTCCTGCCCTTTCTTTGTTTTCCTTCTGTTACGTTTTAGAATGTAAGTTCTCCAGGACAGGGTTATGTTTCTTTTGCTCTATAAGATGCCATACGTATAGACAGCAGTTTATTAATTAACTATAGAGGAGGTAGATACCTCTACAACTTGTGTGTTTGAACTTGAAATTTGCCCAAACTATGTGCTAATTTCATTGGACTGCAAGTGGCAGAAATTCTACGAATTCAGTGATCTAAAATAGCTTTGTCCCTTTGATTCATGTGTCTAACTAATATATAATGAAGTTTAAGAAGCAAACGTTTTATTTTACTTCCACATGATATATGTTTGTATTTCAGGAAAGACATGAGAGGCTGTCGATTTTTTTATTGTAACTAATTATATGATTACTAGTTAAAGTTTCAACATCCCATATTTATCAGACATAATTATAACTCCAAACATCTATTTCAACCCATTTTTGTGGGCCTGAGTTTTAAGTAAATATAAGGTTAAGTACAAATAACTCAATCTATTGCTTTATTGCATTTTTTCTTCACTTGTTACATTATACTCCAATATTTCCTGTAGGACCTCAAAGGGCATGACATGGGATCTCCATTTAATCCCCACACCAACGGACATGCAAAGGGTGGGTTGAATTGAGGGAGAATAACTTGCCCAAAGTCACTCAGTAAGTTTTCATGGCCAAAGATAAACTTGAGCCTAGATTTCCCCAGTCCTAGCCCAGCAATTTAACCACTACATCCTGCTGATTCTCTAGATAGTATGTTACAATGGCTTGAATGCAAAATCAAATACAACTCCACTTTAGAATGCCATGGTTCTGCACAGAAGAGGGATTGCCATAGTAGGATAATCAAACCTTTCCATAAGATCCTCCCTTACAGTCACTACAAGCAGAGTGCTGCTTTGTTGAACATTTTGGTATACTGTTGGCCTCTTCTGATAAAACTAGGTCTCCTGTGACTTTTGTTTAGCAACTCAGAAGCCTACTGCTCTCTGACTTTTGGTGGGCAATCTGCTTTAGCAAAGAGCATAAGTTCACCATAAAACAGTAAGCCTAAAAACAAAAAGCTATTTGAATAATTGTAAAGTGATGCACAGAGGGCTCTGGAGATACAAAAACAATATTGAAGCACATATCCACCCAATATGGCAGTACTTCATCATGAGGCAAGCTTTGGTGCAATCACCTTAATCTATAGAGAAAGTTTGTTCTCAACAGAATTTAAAGACTGGATAGCCCATGATTGTCTACTGACTTATCCATAATTTTCAAAGTTCAGTCTCTGTGAAGCTTCCTGGTTTAGGAGTCTTTATTACAACAGCAGCCCATACTTTAGTTTCCTCTCTTCACAAAATCAGTTTACTTATTTCAACACTTCTCTATCCAACCAAATGAAAAGCTACCAATACACATTTCACACTGTTATGAAACAATTGAGTGACTGATGCACAGCTTAGATAAAACTAACAACTCATCTATGTTTTGGCTCGTTCTGTAGCAATGGTTCTTCAAAGGCAGTTTGTCATCAAAATGTATTAATGACAACAGTAAATTATTGTTAATCTCTATGCTGAGAATTTAAAAAGAGGGGAAAAAAGAATTTGAATCAGAAGCAGAATGGGCAGAGGGAAAGGAGTATTGTCATGCGAAGGAGATCTGGAAATGGATGGTCGGCAATGGCCTTGGACCAAGATTTAGCAACCAGTGCACAATGAAAGGCACAGCAGGGCTGGGAGAGTTTGAACTATCGTTAGTGCAGAAATGGAAAGCTATGCATGTTATATATCCTTAAACTATAGTATGTACTGCCCAGCAATCTTAGACACATCATGCCACTTCTGAGAAGTAATTCAAAGTATAGGACAGTCTAAACTGAGCCCTAATAGCTGCACCAGTGTGCTGATTCTCAGGCCATGGGTCATTATTGCTATTTACCACATTCTAAGAGTCCAATTTCACATGTTACCTGTATGATTGATCATATCATTATTAACTTTAGGGACAATATATTCTGTTTAAAATCTGTTAATCTTTAAATAAGTTTTTATTATAGTTTTGATGCTGGCTCACCTGCATTGCATGAAGTCATAGAATGATTGTTTGGTTCTGTCTTGGTATGCCTTGCAAACTAAGTCACTGTGCTTCTTAAATCATGGATTACAGCAGGGGTGAAGAAAGTACTGCTTGGGGGCTACATGCAGTGCGCCCTTTTATAGTTCTCAGATGCCATCCCTAGGATTGAAGGAGCAAAATTTGGCAGGGGTTACGGGGCACATCAAGCCTTAATCCCCCCCCCCCAAAAAAAGGTCCTGGCCCTACCCATGTTAAGAACTGTGATTGTTCAACATGCGATGAAAAGCCTGGTGTAGCCCTTGAACCCAGTCTTAATGTAAATGTGGTTTATTGTACAGAACAACATATGACAAGAATTGTATTAAGTATCCTATTCTATTGACATATTTAGTAGGACTGGAGTGTGCCTAAGAATATGCAGGACAGTTCTGTCTCTGTCTCAGCAAGAGCCTGATTGCTTTTGCAACAGCTGCAACTAAGCAAGACATTTGTGCCCTTGTTAAAAGGTTTAATTTTTTTGTGGTGTTCTGAAGTTTCATCTTTAAGCTGCCTTGAATTGGCTATAGCCTTAGGAAGGATATAAATTCCTAAATAAATAAGTACTTTCTCACAATATGAAAAGTATGTTAGTACACTTACACCTTACCTTACAAAAGTTATATTTCTTGCACGAAGGAATATATGTTGCTGACTTTTTTCATTTCAGCAAAGTTACCTCTAAAAGGACCAAATTACATACATTGACACTTGCAGAATTGTGGCTGCAATGTATATTTTGCTCTAGGTCGAAAAGCTAATGAATTCGGGTTTAGTAACATCCAACTTTTATTTCAGAGTACTTTCTGTTCTCATGACTTGTTTGTGTTAAGAATGTAAAACTAGAGATGTGTTTTCATCTAAACATCTATTTTGTCTAAGAGACTATTTACAACAGGTTTATACACATGTATTTTTATACTTTGAGAAATAGTCTGGATTCTTTATCCATTTGTTTTTTGTAGTATTATGACATTTTATAAGATGATTGATTGTACCGTGTTGAAAACCTACCATGTGATCATCTATTTTTAAATGCTCATTTATCCTAGCCAACATTAAAAATACCTAGCACTAATTCACAAGACATGTGAAATGTAAACTTTTGAGCCTGATAAAATCTGATGTGTCTAGAATTTGAGTGCCACAGTTCTGAGGTCTTAAAATAAAAGATCAGCACTGAAATGGGAGTCAAACAAAGTTAAATCTATATTTAAAGATGCTTGGCCCATCTTTCTCTTCAAGGCACCTATGCATGTTTAACTGGAAGTAAGTCCTATTAAACAAAGTGAGACTTTTGAGTAAAGATGACATGGCTGAACTGTAATTCATTGAGGTGGATTACAGATCTTAACATACAATTAATAGAAAACTCTGTTGGTGCCAAGTAGAACAGCAAATTTCTTATATATATTAGGATCATTATAAACTACTGCAGTGAAGTCCTGTTTTATTTAAACTAAAGGGTTATTGTTATAAAACAGACAATAACAGAATTTCCATTTATCTCACAGATTTTTCCTACTGATTAATATGAGAAGGTGTGACTCAAACTAAAAGCTAAACTGTTTATAAAAATGTCAATAGTGCACCCAGTTTCCCTCTTTTCTTTTATAATATCTGATGCAGGTTACTTCATATTATGTTAACATTTCACATTAGTCTGCTTCAGTTCTATATTATTGGTGGTTTTTAATGGAAGGAACCATGGAACTTTACAATGTTTTGTCATGAAGTAAGTTGCATTGGATGCTGTGGAACTAGATGTGTCGTGCTTTTTCAAAGAGTAGTAATATGCTTGGTTCTGTATTGTAAGTAAATATAAAGATATAGTGCAAACAGAATGGTACTGGGGTAAAGGCATAAGATGTGAAAGCAGTTAAGCAAATTTAACTGAGCAGTATAAAATGTGCCAATCTAATATTACAGAGATGGTCAGCATTTATGAAATGTTGGAACAGAAACTTTAAGAAGCTATACAATAAGACTACCAGATCTGGGCTACAAAAATCCTGATGACCACTAGATAATGGCAAAGAAATCTCTGGTGCCTTCTAAGGGTTATTTGGATTTATGCAGTCCTGCTGTAAAATCAAAATGAACTGTTATTGCTATAATTTAATTTTTAGGATACACATTATGTAGAGTTTTGTGATTTTTTTTTTAAACAGGAAAAAAGTTAGAAGAATGCTGAATATCATTTTCATGCATCTCCCAATATATTATTCTAATTTGGAGATTTTAAACAAGAAGAGAGAAGCTGTAAAGAAAACATGAATCATGTACTTTACCTTGTAATGATAATAAATATACTAGGACGGGACATGCTATGGCACAAATAGGACACACCATCAGGCTTTGGTCATTTTCAACTGGACAATTGGGAGAGGAGATAGCCTCAATATGTGTCAGGATGCACATCTGTGCCACTTCTAACCTTGGAAGTAAAGTAAAGTAATAGTTAGAGAAAGTAATAGTTAAGTTGTATCCATGCACAAGTTAGTATGGAACAAATAGCTTGCATTTATGGCAAAATGTTTATTAAAAATCCTCCCCAGGTGTTAAGAAGGAGAACAATATATCTCCAATCTTTCTTCTGTAGGTGCCTGTGTCAGTGGCCATGATGACTCCCCAAGTGATCACCCCTCAGCAAATGCAACAGATTCTCCAACAACAAGTTTTGTCTCCCCAGCAGCTCCAAGCACTTCTTCAGCAACAGCAAGCAGTTATGTTACAGCAGGTAATGTTGGATAGCTGTTTGGATGGTAGGTAGAGTTCAGGCCTATTAGGTAGTCAGCCCTGTTTGCTAGTGAGGGGACATGTGTGTAGTCTTGTACAAAGGCATAACGTAGATCTACATCCAATCCTCTCAGCTTAAAAAATTTCTAGGACTGAGAGCATCAGTTTTGCAACTTTAAGCACAACTTTAACATCTAATTCAGGAAGAACAATGGCAGGTGCAATGTGAACAGGGAATAAACCAGTGTTTAAATGTTCAAGAGCTTAGGTACTTTTTGAGTTACAAGCTGAACAAATAATGTAAAGACACTTTAAGATCATGGTTGCTTTAAAATTATATAACTTTAGTGATCCCTTTAGTCAGATAACTGGAAGGTGGTTCGGAAATTTGAAATTAATTTTTTTTTTAATCAAATGGAAGCACAATGTTCTCTTTAGAAGTTGGAGTGGTGGGAGTAAATCTGGAATGAAAGTCAAGAATCCCTGAAACCTCTGGTTGAAAAACAATAATATCTGTCACGTATCATTACAATGTCTATTACCACTTTTTCCTGAACTTTGGGGGAATATGCTTAATTATCATGAAGAAAATAATAAGTTTGTTTTCAGGATGTTTAAACAAGATATGTGGTTTCATGGGGATTACAGTGAAATAATATTTCACCGCACATCTGGCATCCTGCTAAAAATGCACAAGCAGATTATTTTAACTCCCCACCCTTATCGCCTATGAAGAAGTACACATTCTGTTTGGCCTTGCTGGACCTTTTGAATATTTACAAATAGTAGATATTAGGAAGGAAGGAAGGAAGGAAGGAAGGAAGGAAGGAAGGAAGGAAGGAAGGAAGGA